AGCTTTCACTTTCGCTTTCGACCTTAGAGATTTCTCCCAGCTTCCCCCTGTAGTCCGTATCTGAGTCTAAGCCTAGGCTTTCAATAGCTTCTTCCGGCACCTTTTTCGTCCGGCTTTTCCCTAGGCTGTTTGCTAGTCTCTCTCTCCGATATTTTCCACTTCTTCCCGTTTCTTCCCTCCTAAGTTTCCTATCCGAGTCACGGCACCATTATGTCGCTCCCCCTCTTCATGGAGGAATGACACAGGATCCTGCCTAGGCTTCCTATCCAAGTCACGGCACCATTATGTCGCTCCCCCTCTTCGTGGAGGAACGACACTAAACCCTGCCTAGGCTTCATATCCGAGTCACGGCACCATTATGTCGCTCCCCCTCTTCATGGAGGAACGACACTAAACCCTGCCTAGGCTTCATATCCGAGTCACGGCACCATTATGTCGCTCCCCCTCTTTGTGGAGGAACGACACAGGACCCTGCGCTGTTCTTTCGTCTGCTCGGCCCTCCCCGGGTTTGCTGCTGGTTCTTCCCAGGTTGGCTACTATCCCTTCCACCTCCGTGGAAGGGCGGTTCCCCCTGCCACATTCCCCACTTCCGCAGGGGAGCGGCACACCGCCGGCCAGCTCTCTCGGGGGCTGCACAGGTGTTCCTTCAGCTAGATGTTCCCCTTAGATGTTCCTCGTGCATGCCGTCTCTCTCCTCCTTTATAGTCCTCCTCCGCCAATCCTAACTTGGCTGCCCACACGCCGAGCACGCTGCTCTCCTCCAATCAGGAGCAAGTCCTACAGTTTATTGGCTGAACTGGAGGCAGCTGTGTAGAAGCTGTTTTCTTCTCTCCCAGCGCCATATTGTGGGAGAGCAGATGCATAGAATAAGTCTCAATTCCAGTAACTTAGTCTAGTCCGAGTTGCTCCCCACACCAAGATGGCCACTGGCAACGGAAACTGTCTGGCAACAGGCTGTGATTGGATGGCTTTGGAAACCACATGACCATGGAGTCTGACTGACAACAGGCTGTGATTAGATGGCTTTGGAAACCACATGGCAACAGAGGCTGCCTGGCAACAGGCTGTGATTAGATGGCTTTGGAAACTGCCTGGCAACAGGCTGTGATTGGTTAGAGCATAGACTGCCCCTTGACCAGATTGGCTGCCTTTGGCTATATAAGCTGCTGTACCAACTGAAATAAAGGAGTCTGCAGGCTGCTCGCCTCTGGCCTGCTCTCACTGACTCTCAGGGTCTGTGTGGTGACTCTGTGCCTCTTGCCCCCACCACGCTCCTCCTCTCAGAACAAATCCACAGCAACACCAACAGTCAGCACAGACCACAGCTACAAAGGTGTCTGGAGTCAAGCTCTAAGATGCAAGAAGCTGAATAATCTGAGAGCCTGGGTGGTCCCATCAGTCCTGGAAGGCCTGTGAAGCCAGCTGGGCCTTTCTGTGTCTCTGTTCAAAAGATGCTGCCTCCAGAGCACTCAGCTGTATAATTTTTCCCACTTCACACTTGTTGATTTGCTTGATTTACTCTGGAATCTCAATAAAATGTCCCCTTTAAGGCTCTAGAGCTGTGCTTCTTGGCCACCAGGATGCAAATGGATACTGGGGAGATTATTTGTAAAACAGATGCCCCAATCCAACCATTAGAAACAGCCAAATTGTTGGGTTTAGGATGAAACTTGGTGAACTGCACTCTTTTCTTTTTTATTATCATTTTAATTGTCCATCTTTATGGGGGTCAATGTGATAAGTCAACACATGTATTCAATGTGTGAAGACTGAATCAGGTTAATTAATATTTCATCTCTTTCAACATTTTTAAATTTAATTAACAATAATTTATGGGGTGCAGTGTGCCATTTCAATACATGTATACAATATGCACTGATCAAATCAGGATAATTAATATTTCCCTCTCTTTGTCATTACTTTATGACAGAAGCCTTTGTGCTCCTTTCTTCTATTTGCTCACAACGTTTCTAATAGGTTATTGTGAACTGCAGTCACCCCATGGTGCTATTAACACCTGCAGCTTATTCCTTCTTTCTGACTCTGGTAGCTCCTTTCCAACCTCCCCCTATCCCCACTCTGCTGTCCAGACCCTAGTCACTACTTCAGATAAACAGAGGACAGAGATTTGGAAAATAGATTTCCAGTCATTTGTGACTTTTCCAGAAGAAAAGGATCTGTCTACACTTGGGCTAAGAGGGAGAAGATAGAATTGTTCTTAGTGGCCAAAGAAGCTGCTGTCACAACATGGGAGCCTAGTGGCTCTTCAGGGCCACCCCTCAGCTGTCCATTGCTCAGAAGTTTTAGAGACACTCTTGATTGTGCTGAAAATCTCACCACTGCTGCCCTCTTCCTTAGAGTAAAGCAAGGTGCATCTCCATCACTGTCAACACATTCGTAAGAATAACGCCATCTTCAACCAGACCCTTTAGAAAAAGGAAACATGCAAGAGAAACTAACTTTTGTGGAATTCTCTCAGGGGTGTCTGGCATTGCAGTCAGTGCTCTGCTGTGAGGAACACTGGATGAACCTTGGCTGCGGCCCACAGCAACCGTGGGAGACTATTTTCTACAGTCCATGGATGAGGAAAGGAGGTTCAGAGAAACAGAGGAAACTGCCCAAAGTCACTCAGCTGATGGCAGCAGACCCGAGGTGAAGTCCAAGGTCTGTCTGCCTCTAAAACCCACCCCTTCCCCCATCAGACCATTGGAAGAAATCAGGGAACTCTTCTGGGAAGAGCAGGCCCTGTGTGAGCTACCAACAAGGGTACAAGAGGGCAGCCTGGAGGTGGAGGGTCATAGGTGTGGACACAGGCAGTCCAAGGACAACTGGCATTTTTTATTTTGTCTCAAAGCATCCATCCTTGTAAATGAACAATGACCTTTGTCAAGAAAGAGGCATGGACTGCAGGGTGGGCATTTTGGGCAAGAGAGGAAGACCTGGGAGTTGGACGGCTCCTCATGCCAGGGACGGGTGGCAAAGGTTGGGCCAAAGCTTCACATGCCTGCCATCAGCTCTCTGCTGTGCATGGGGTGCTCCTCATCAGAATGGGGAAGGGTTGCACAGGGACTGAGCAAGGAGACGTTAACAAAATGTGGTTGGGGGAAAGGAGAGGCAGAGAGCCAGCGGCTGCTTTATCCTTGGGGGCTGTTAGAAGAGTGTAGTGGGAACCAGAAAAACAGACCTAACCTCATGGGAGCAAGCACGTGGCAGCACCCACAGCTGCAAACCATCTCTGCTGAATGTCTCGCCATTCCCTTACCCCTACCCAGCTCATGCTAAGCCCACCTGCCCGACTCTAAAATCAGCTTCCACCTCTGACTTCAGTAATATTGTCATAACAGCCAACAGTTTTGGGAGTTCAACAGCTACTAGACAACCATCCCAGATTCCCTCTTTGCATCACATCCAGTCCCACTGCTGGCTTCTCCTCATCTTTTCACTCTTATGCCACAGCCCTAGGCAAAGACCCAAGTCACACGTCCTTCAATTATAGCAACTCCATGACTTGTTGTTCAAAGCCTTCTATGATCCAGCCCCATCATACTGCATAACCCAGCCTCCTGTTGTCCTGTGGCTCACTCACCTGGGCCACCACGGCTATCCAAGTGGTCTCCACTGCTGTGCTCACACCATGTCCTGAATATCCACCTGAATATCCACTTTCCTTGTGTATGCCTTCATCACCCCCACTTCCAATCCATGCCGACAACAAATGTGAGTGAGTGGATATCCAAGCAGTATTGGCACCATACAGAGGTGACAGAACAGACACTCATTCCTGTCCCCAACGAACTCACAGTCCAGCAGAGAAGGCAGCTGCTAAATCAACGAGTACCAACAATTAGGTGATTCTACATGAGCAAAACTCTGCAATGAGAGGCCACTCAGGCGTATGAGGAGGGGCTTCAGAGCACGTTCCCTGAGGAAGCGACCGCTCGTCTGAGACACACAGTGGCTAGCAGTTAGCTGGGGACAGATGGTAACACAGAAGAATGTTCCAGGCAGAGGCCAGCAGGAAGCAGCAGGACTCTTGAAAGAACAGCAAGTCCAGCAGAGCTGCAGTCAAAGAGACACAGGACAAGGCAGGGAGGCAACAGGAGGCCAAGCCAGGACAGGGCTGTGTGGGCGCACGAAGGCTTCGGGCTTGGCCCGGAACGCTGCATTTCACATTCGGGTCTCAGGCGAGCACATTAACCTCTACCAAAACAGAATCATCCAAGTCCCCTCTTTGGGAAGGAAAAATATGACATGAGAAATGAATCCCCTCTTAAGACAAGAGTCAGTTTTAATTAAAGGGAAATTAAGAAATCAGTTGGACACAAAAGTACTTTGTGTTTACTCAGGCATGATGGCTGCGTATTGTTTTTCTTGGCTGACAAAAGAGGCTGAAGGATGAAGATTATTAACAATCCAGGTAAAGAATCTGTTTGCTTACAAATCAGATTGAGACAAGGTCCCCAGTAAAACTAACCTGGATTATGCCCTGGGTAAGCAACAGATCTCTCAGCTGCTGTTCTCTAGCAGGAGAAAGGACTGTCTTCCTGTCTGTATGTTTTGACAGACCTGTTTTACACACCTCTAATGTTCTAGAAACATCAAGAATTGTGGGACAAGTTTTATGTGACCATAAGAAGTCATCAAACAGAATCAGGGTGGGAGGTTATCATCGTTGGAAATTTGTAACATCAGATATAACTAATCACCCAACGGATTAAAATTGTTGCTTCTTTTCCAGGCCTAAATCTCATTGTCACTCAGTGATGTAAAAGCTCCGTTTATGCCTTGGGGAGTTGGAAAGAGCAGCTGTCAGTCTTTCCCTTTGAAACTGTTAACATGGAAGTAGGAGCCTTGCTGGTCTTCTCACTCCCGTTAACCCCACCCATGGCTGGCTACTCCTCCCCAGACTAGTCCACGCCAGCCTCTCCCTCCTTTGCTTGTGTCATTGTTCCTGCCTAGAGTTCTTTCAGTTCCAGCTCCAGAGCTGTATTTCACACCACATGCCTAAGGCGACACGGCTGCTCATTGCCAAGGAAACCGTGCTGCACACTCAAGTCTTTGGAGTGAGGAATAAGCCTCTTGAAAATGGTAACTCAGAATGAAATTCATCACCAGTTGCAGATTTTCTTCTCTATGTGGGGAACAACACCAAGGAAGGAACATGCACACTGAGAATGTATAGTCAAAGGGCATACCCCATGAATGAAAATGACTCACTGGCCCACTCCTAGTGAAACATGAGCCTTGTGCTGCCCCCTAGTGGCTGAGTTGAGCGGGCCAATGAATATCATGTATCCCCTCCAGCTGATTCCCCACCTACCCCCAGATCAAGGCCCCTCCACGGTCTGGGTTACAGACAAAGTGAGCTGTTCACCTTGACCTCAATCAATACCAAGTCAAATGTCAACAGGCTAAGAACAGTAGGTTCCTGAGTATGACTCTTGGTCAGTCTAGTAACATTATCGGTTTGAAGCCCAGATCACTTAAGGTAACAATATGTCGCACCTCCTCAAAGTATTTCTCCCTGAGAAAGGGGAAAGTGGCAGGACAAACCTTGACTCCTGAGAAAGCAGAGGCCAGGTGGAGGAGGATACTCCCACCCTGCAGCTGAGAGGATGAAACCAAAGTGAGCAGCCCCCAGCCTCCTTCTGAGTCCATTCAGGTATCATGCGCAAGGCTGAATCCATGAACCCCGAACCAAAATGCACCTGGGAAGTCTTCTGCTGTGCTTGATCTGCTTGGACAACCACAGCAGATCACTCCAGCCAAGAGCTTCCGACTTTAATTCTTCAGGAGCCCATGTGCATTCCATTAGCTCGGAAGTGAGCCCTAGAGCCAGCCCCTGGGTTCCATCACTTAGATGTCGTTGCCTGGGCTATCCCAAGCCTCCTGAGTGCAGGGAACTGCTCCTCTCCCTGTCCTGATTGGCAGCAGGGCACTCAGGAGCCGCTGCTGCATCTTCAGATGTTCCCTCTGCAAGAAGCAGGACCTGTTAAACTTCCCCAAACACATGTCTCAGCAATAGGGGCTTGCTATGTCACTTGTGTCAGGAGCTCAGATTCTGATTCCTCCAGACCCAGTCATAAAGGGCCAGGCACCCCCAGAGGCAGCACCACCATCCTACAGACTCATGGTGCGTAGCTGAACACCTGGCACGCAGTGGGCACTCAATTCTCACAGGCTACCAGCAGGGCTGATGACATCCAGCTAATCGGTACCCAGGCAGGCACAGAGGTGGGCAGAACAGCTTCCCCACTGGACAGCGAGCAGCTGCTCCCCAGAACATTGTCACCCCAGTTCCATCACCAGCATGGTGGCCTCTTCCTTGGGATCCCCAGAAGCTCTTCAAGGCTGGCCCTCATTCTGACTGGTCAGTATCACGGACACCAGCCATCAGACTCACTCTCATGTCTGGCTATCGTCATCGTCATTGCCACTTCATTAGGGGCTCACATCTCACAGATACTTATACCCAGAAATTCCACCCCATCCTCTGACTCCTCCTTCTCGCCCCACAGTGGGTCCCTGTCCCCTGCCTTTCGTTTGCGTGGTGATATTTTCTGGCTCAGCGTGATCCCTGGCCACCTCACTCACAGTCGTGACTTCACTTCCATTGTGTGGAGACTTGTCAGTTCCCACTGTGGGGAATGTGTCAGCCTAGCCAGGCTGGAACTGAACTGTGTTTATGATAATTCCCTTCCCTGAAGGGCTCTGGGTTAGCACAGGCCATAGAGACGGTGTAGGTGAGCCACGGAAGACAGAAGTGAAGCAGGGATGGTTTTGGTTTGATTCTCAGAGAGCTGCTGCAGGACACCAGGTGCTGCTGCCCCATAAACATTGGCCACCTTGCTGCCGTGAGACCATGGCCAGGCCGGCAACCCCTCCAGCCTGCTGGATCTCATCCTCCCGCTGCCCCTGCTCCTTGGCCAGGTGCCCCTTAGCTCTGTGATGAAGGTAAGCTTACGGGTAGTGAGAGTTCAACGTAATTTCTAGTCCAGCTTCACTGGGCCTGGTTCATCCTTGCAAATTCCCCTTTGTCTTGCTTCCCACATCACACCCCTCTTCCTTTCCTGATGGCCATGCAGACATAAAAATAGCAGCTGTGCCCAAACTGCTGACCCAGTTCTCGTGACGTGTGAGGTCCAAGCCCTAAAATAAATCCATGTCTATGTCTGTGTCTGTCTTTGTGTTCACAGGTAGGTGGGTAGATATACCAGATAGATAGATAGATAGATATTAATAGCTTGGCCTCTGATTGAAGTCTGATAGATGGAACTCTGACACAACATCTACCCAGTCACCTAAGCCACAAATCTGGTTTCATCCCAATCCCTCTCTCTCCATCACACCCAACATCTAAGCATCCAGCTGGGGAGCCATTCCACCTTCCAACCTGTATCATTCTCCAGGCGATTGGCTCTTCTTATTTTCTTTATGTTGGGATTTGACAATCAAATTATGCTTCTTCTACATACAGCCACTAAATGAGATGTCATGGTAGGAAAAGCAAAAGGGCTTCATGAGTGCTTGCTCCATAAAGGCTCAACAAAGAACTACAAATGACCCAAGTGCAGGCCAGCTCTCCTGTTCATCCCACTATCACTGCAAGCATTAAACAACCCGAGGTGAGCCTTCAGAAGGGCACCGTCATAGAGAGGGGTCCGTGACTGTACATCAGAGTCGTCCACCGTCCAGCACTGGCTGCAGCCAGTGACAAGCAGTGCACTCGCTGGGGGCTCGGCAGCAGCTTGATGACGAAGGCTTTTTACAGAAACACGTCTGCACTTACTTATCATGAAGGCAACAGGAGCTGCGCAGCAAACTCAGGATGCAAACAAGAGAAATGTTAGCCTGCTTAAGAGCACGGAGCTTAAGCATTGGCCTTGACGTTCACATAATAAATACGCTCATTCCACATTTCCCTGTCTCTTTCCTAATGTCCTGGCATGAGTCTCTAACACATTCTCCTTTTAGCATTTTTCCTGTGGGTGCTCAATTTTAATGAAACGATATTCCCCTCCTAGTGTCCTGCTTTTCCAGCCTGTCATCCATCATCCGGTAAGTCACAAAACATTTATTAAGTGCCTGAAGTTTGCCAAGTGCTAGGAAAAGATGGTTTATTAGTGCAGGATTTGTATTTGTGCAAGTTTCATCTTGGGGGGAGCGGGATCATCTGTCAAAAGTAATCAAACAATTAACACTTTCATTTAGTGATAGGTGTCACAAAGTTTGAGCGTATTGGGGGGGGGAGGCAGGATGATAAGCATGAGTGGGCAGGGAGAGAGGCCCCTTGGGAGAGGTGAGAATCAGGAAGGGACAAGCCCATGTGACCCTCTGAGCCAGGGCTTCCCTTGAGGGGCCGGCACTGTGGTGTAGCAGGTAAGGCTGCTGCCTGCAGTGCCAGCATCCCATATGGGTGCCAGTTCAAATCCCGGCTGTTACACTCCAGTCCAGCTCCCTGCTATGGCCTGGGAAAGCAGTGGAAGATGGCCCAAGTCTTTGGGCCCCTGCACTCACCTGGGAGACCCTGAGGAAGCTCCTGGCTCCTGGCTTTGGATTGGCCCAGCTGTGGCTGTTACAGCCATTTGGGGAGTGAACCAGCAGATGAAAGACTTCTCTCTCTTTCTCTCTGCCTCTGCCTCTGTAACTCTGCCTTTCAAAATAAACAAATAAAAATCTTAAAAAAAAAAAAAAAAAAAAAAAAAAAAAAGAGAGAGAGAAGAAAGCAGCAGCAGCCTGGAAATAGAAGGACCCTGGCACACACTCAGGTTGTGCCTAAATGAGGAGTGTAGAATAGTCCTTACGGGCCCCGCGGCCTGGGTGCCTGGCGGGCGGCCGAGATGGAGGCGGCGGCGACGACAGCCCGCCAGAGAGGAAGATTTACATGGACTACAACGCGACCACGCCCCTGGAGCCGGCAGTCATTCAGGCCGTGGAGGAGGCCATGCAGGACGCCTGGGGCAATCCCAGCAGCTCCTACCCCGCAGCTTGATCTTAAGCAAATTATTCCACCCTTTCATTCTCCCGTCTTGATGGACGGGAAGCGAGGTAGATGGCCAGAGCTCCCTCTCCTAGCATGTGGTCGGAAGGCCAAGGACATTATAAACGCAGCGCGGGAAAACGTGGCGAAGATGATAGGTGCGAAACCTCGAGACATAGTCTTCACCTCCGGGGGGACTGAGTCAAACAACTTAGTGATCCATTCTGCGATGAAAACCTTCCACGAAAACGAAGCCTCCGGAGGGGGCGCGGTGGAGCACCCCAGCCCGGTAGAGGGGGCCACGCCCCACTTCGTAACGAGCACAGTGGAGCACGACTCCATCTCTCTGCCCCTGCAGCACCTGGCAAAGGAGCAAGTGGCCGCAGTCACCTTTGTCCCAGTGTCCAAGGTGAGCGGGCAGGTGGAGGTAGACGACGTCCTGGCCGCAGTCCGTCCCACCACGTGCCTGGTGACCATCATGCTGGCCAATAACGAGACTGGCATCATCATGCCTGTCCCCGAAATCAGCCAGCGCATCGCAGCCCTGAACCAGAAGCGGGCAGCGTCCGGGCTGCCCCGCGTCCTGCGGCACACGGACGCCGCGCAGGCGTTGGGGAAGAGGCGCGTGGATGTGGAGGACCTGGGTGTGGACTTCCTGACCATCGTGGGGCACAAGTTCTACGGCCCCAGGATTGGCGCGCTTTATGTTCGAGGGCTCGGTGAACTCACCCCTCTGTACCCCATGCTGTTTGGAGGTGGACAAGAGCGGAATTTCAGGCCAGGGACGGAGAACACCCCGATGATTGCCGGCCTTGGGAAGGCTGCTGAGCTGGTGACCGCGAACTGTGAGGCTTACGAGGCCCACATGAGAGACGTCTGAGACTACCTGGAGGAGAGGCTGGAGGCTGAGTTTGGTAAAAAGAGAATCCATCTCAATAACCGGTTTCCAGGGGCCGAGCGGCTGCCAAACACCTGTAACGTTTCCATCCGGGGACCCCAGCTTCCAGGCCGCCTGGTGCTCGCACAGTGCCGGACGCTGCTGGCCAGTGTAGAGGCCACATGCCACTCGGACCTCGGGGACCAGCCGTCGCCCGTGCTGCTGAGCTGCGGCGTCCCCTTCGCGGTGGCCAAGAACGCGCTGTGCCTCAGCGTGGGCCGCAGCACCACCAGGGCAGAGGTGGAGCTCGCCGTGCAGGACCTGAAGCAGGCCGTTGGCCCGGCTGGAGGGCCAGGCCTAGTGCCGGGCCGCGCTGCTCATGGGAGTCCCCCGCCAGCCGTCTGGCTTCTGCTCGTCTCATCCCGCCACGGCGTGGCATGGTGAAGCGTGGGCGTCGGTGCGAGTGCCTCCTCCACGGACTGGGTTTGCCAGGCGCACAGACGGCCCTCCCCACAGCCCCACTGGCCACGGGCGACGGCGGGAGCAGACCGGCTGCAGCAGACTGGCTGCAGCCACACCCGCGCCCCTCTAGGGATCCGTGAGCCTCTCCTGAGCGCCCTACCTGGAAGCGGCGTTTTCATCTGCAAGATAAAACCAAGGGATCTATAAGTCACTGCCACTCGGCCGCCGTCAGGAAACTAGGAAGCTTGGCTCCCGGGGGCTCCCTGCCGCCTCGGTGGGCCCTGCCTCGACCAGGGCAGGACGCACCCTTGGTGGCCGAGCACTTTCTGCTGCTGCCATGTGGGCTACAGGTCACTGGGCACCTCCCCTCCCCGAGCCACCGCCTCTCCTGGCTCCCCTTCTGATCTGCTCCACTGGCGTGGGCGGCCGGTGTCTGTGCCATCCCCGAGGTGGGAAATCGGATCTCCCCATCCGGCTCTCATCCCCACCGTCTGCAGAAGGACTTTTATCTTCACACAGCGTCCTGTGGCGAGGGGGATTTGCATAGGAGCCACCGTCAGGGCTGATGGTTCTGACATATGACATAGGAGCGACCGTCAGGGCTGACGGTTCTGACATGTGACATAGGAGTGACTGTCAGGGCTGACGGTTCTGACATGTGACATAGGAGCGACCATCAGGGCTGACAGTTCCGATGTGTGACATAGGAGGGACCATCAGGGCTGACGGTTCTGACGTGTGACATAGGAGCCACCGTCATGGCTGACAGTTCTGACATGTGACATAGGAGCAACCATCAAGGCTGACAGTTCTAACATGTGACATAGGAGCCACCGTCACGGCTGACAGTTCTGACATGTGACATAGGAACGACCGTCAGGGCTGAGAGTTCTAATGCATACTCTGTAACAGAGAGCCACGTGCTGTCACCGAGGAACCACCTGTGGGAAATGGGGCTAGCTAATAAATGGTTTCCACACTTGGAAAAAAAAAAAAAAAAGAATAGTCCTTACGGAAGCACCACGCTCTTCTCTGCCTCAGGACTTTTGCACATTCTATCCCCTTATCTGGAAGACTCTTGACCCTGCTCTCTCCTGAACGAGTCCTTGCTTTTCATGTCTGAAACCCAAACACAGCTTCTGACTCTCCCCCGACCCCACACTCCCGAGAGACAGGTCCTCCTTGGTATTTCCTCTGACAGACACAGAGTGTAACATGTGGTGTGTGTACTTATTCAGCACATAGAAGGCACCTGGAATAATCACTGAAGAGATGAACTGAGAGATGGATGGACCCCGGCAGTCATCCAGGGGCCCTACAAACCAGGGAACCTAAGAACAGCCATGGGGTGGGGCTGGAATACAAAGGAAAGTTAAAAAAAAAAAAAAACAGGATTTAAGGAAGAAGGAAGGGAAAGCCCTAGGGGAGGCCAAGCAGCAGGCCTGGCATGAGGGCAAGAGGCAGAGAACAGGCCAGGGAGGACGGTGGACAGCAGGGACGAGCAGTCTCCCAGCAGAACAGTGGCTGCACCGCAGGTGGTATGCCAGTGACGGCGGCAGCTCTCTTCAGAGGGACAGAGTCCCGGGTGGTCCCAGATGTGAACCACCTGCCACCGGCCCCTCCGTCGCACAGACACGCTCACCAGTGGGCGGGCAGCTCATCCCCAACAGCACTTCTGCCCCAGCCGCACACAGAGGCACATTGCTTCCCTACTCGAAACATTTGCCGTCCCTTAGCCACTCTCTCCAAGTCCCCATGAGGAGCTCCAGTTTGTCAAGACCCCCTTTGCAGCATGCCACCTGCAGGGGCACCCACAGCACGAGGTGGGACTGATGCCCCCCCGCCAGCGACATTTGGAATCCTGACAGCCTGACCTTCTCAAGGCCTTTGACGCTGCCGAGCCCGCCAGCTGGGAGGAGGCCCGGGCTGGCAGCGAGCCCCGCAGGCTGGGCAGGAGGGGTAGCAGCAGCTGCTTTGTGTTTGCTCGAGTGGCACGCGCATGTGCCGTGGGAAAGGGCATGCGGGTCTGTCTGGGTGGCTGTTGCAGATGGGGCTGTCCAGAACCAGACAACCCAGATTGCCAGCGTGGGGCCAGCTGCTGAGGCGTGACTGGTCTCTGAAGGGAACATAAGCGGCTTTCCTTGAAATGAGAAATACAAGGTAGACAAATGTGCACAAGGAGAGTCTGAGGATTGAAGGACTCCATGGGGCTCCTGGGGGAGCCAGCATTTCCAACCGAAAATACTGCTGCAGGTGGAGGCAGATCCCTGGTTCCCTGCTCAGGCTGCATGGAGAAACAGACCCCCAGCACCCAGTGCCCCCCTCCACGGGGCCTGAGGTCACCACCTACAGCTGTCTCTGTGCAGCTATCATTAGCCAGTTTCCTTTAGCCACAAAAAGCAAGAGCCCCGGTGCCCCTCCTTCCTTGAGACATTTTAAAAATGTATCCATAAAAGTGTATCTTTAAAAGGGAGTTGCTGTATTCTCCATATCTGGATAATTGATCTGTTACGACTCACAAAGGAGCATTTGTCATTTGCAAAGGGCCCAGACCAAGGGCTTCTTCCTCCGGAGATGAGTGTGCAGGCACTTGACTTATTGCTGCCATCAAGTTGAAGTGGTGGGTTGATTATTTGGTGTTTCGGAATTCCTGACAAATCACCACCCTATTTTGGTGATTACAATTTTAAGAAGAAGAGTCTGATTTATAGAGATCGGGAGGAAGCGAGGCGGGGGTGGGGGCGACCGGCAGGAGGTGCACAGAGGCAAGAGACTCAATAACAACACAATTGGAAACATCTGCAGGATACACTGCCCCCTTCTCCAAACCCGCAGCTCCAGGCTGGGCCTACACCTGGGAGATTTTTCATTCTCCGAGCTTTGGCAGATAAATACACGTGTGGGGGGTGGGGGGAGGGTGCTTTTGCAAATGGACCTGGGTCGAGCCTCTGGGCTCAGGGCTGGGGTTGGCCCCCAGCTACTGCCAGAAGAGAACAGAGCTCCAAAGTGAAATGCATCCTATTGTTAACACCTGGCCAAGCCCTGAGATGTGAGTCCATGTTCATGGGGAAAACAAGCAAGCCGAGGGCTGGCTGCAGCTGGACACAGCTGGATTCTGAGATGCAACGGAGCGGAAAATGACTTCTTCGGCACCGGCACCGGCGAGGACATCAATCGACTGCATTTATTGACAGCTGAAGGGAGGCATGGCCACGAGGCAGGTGCTTTGGAGGAGCCCAGGAATGATTATGCACAACGCCTGCCTGTCCGGAATAAATTTAAGGAGGAACCAGGAAGGCCCTGGTGGCATGTGGAGCGCCCTCCTCAGGTCAAAAAGTGATCAAAGATGAGCCGTGGTGGTGGATACGCAGGAGAGGTGCCGGGCTCCCCGGGTCTCCCCCAGCTGTGAGCTGCAAGCTCTTCCTTAGGGCACAGAGGCCACAGTTCAAAGGAACGTGCAGGTGGCCAGCGCCCACCAGGCGGGATTCCTTCAGTGCTGCATTTTATGAAACTGGAGCACGTCCAGATGCCCAGGTGGCCAGGGTGGTGAGAGAATCAGAAACTAATCCCACTGGAATATATCAAGGAAAATGAAGGCTTCCACCTGGAGAACAGGGGGACAGGAGCGTTCGCGGGTGTCTGAAAGGTTGTCACGGGGAAGAGGAAGCAAGTTATTTTACTGCGGCAGACAGGAGAGGGCAGGGGTCGGCGGCCAGCGGCGGAGAGGCAGATTTCAGTTCAGCATAGGCTAGCAAGTAGAGCGCCACGGCACAGGAGTGACAATGGTGTGGAAGGGCAGTCTGGGGGCCATGTTAGTCACTGTTCAGAGAAGCTCTGCATTTAGGGGTAGGTAAAGCTAGATGCAATTTGAGGTCCCCAGCCACTGTAAGAGTGTGTATTTCTGAGCCAGCGCTGTGGCATGGTAGGTTAAGCCTCCGCCTGCATGGCTGGCATCCCATATGGGTGTTGCTTTGTGTCCCGGCTGCTCTACTTCCCATCCAGCTCTCTGCTAATGGCCTGAGAAAGCAACAGAAGTTGGCCCAAGGGCTTGGGCCCCTGCACCCACGTGGGAGACCTGGAAGAAGCTTCTGGCTTCAGATAGGCCCAGCTCCAGCCATTGTAGCCATCTGGGGAGAGAACAGCAGTGGAAGACTCCCTCTCTTCCTTTCTCTGTAACTCTGCCTCTCAAATAAATAAATAAATCTTTAAAAAAGATTGTATGAGTCACCCTGGGGCTCCATCACAAGGGCTCCTGGGGCTGGCCAGTCCCCACCTGTTCCCCAGCTTTCAGCCCCCGTGTCCTGCTGCCTCTCTGTGATGGCTGTGCTGAGCTCTGCCTCATCCTGTCTGACTTACTTTCCAATTGAACACCAGGACAATATCCCATTTCCCTTTTCTTCTCACGGGTGGAGTGCTGGCACCATCACTGCCCAGCCCCAGTGCATCCAATGTGCCCTGACCCTCCCCTTGTCCCCTTCTTTGCAAGAGCAGGTGGAGGACCTGGAAGAACCCAAGTCTGCAGGGGCTGGCAGGGCATCAGCCCATTTCCTGATGCTGTGTACACCACTGTGGGAGCCCAGACTACAAGGTTCTCCCACCCCAGAGAGGGTCTCAGCCCTTGCAGCTCCACCACCCTCAGTCTGGAACTGAGTTCTCTTGCCCCAGAGCTGAGAAAGCACATACAACCCAGGAGCCCTGAGAATTCTCCCAGTACATCCATAAGCGTAAAGGCTCTTCTTCCCCCCTCCTCACCCCATAGTGGCTGTCTTCCCTGGTGTGTACCCCACCTCCCTCCAGGCCTGAGCTCCACCCTGAGCCCTGCCAGCTCCTGTAGCCTCCACCCAACATGGCCCATTCTGCTTCCTGGGACTCCTCACGGCCCCCCAGTTCTGCCCAGGCTCTCTCGGAGAATGGGAAGTTCTAGTTACTAGTAACACACTATTAATGCTTACAACAGATCTACCACACAGCACATGTCTAGCACAGGCCAGCTGCCCTGCTAAAGGTTTGTATCTGTGTTAGAATCTCGTTCAATGCTCTGAACAACCCCGAGAGGTGA